GCAGAGGCATGTAAGTGAAGACACTAGTCGGTTTTTCAATACCACAGGCCCACTTCGGCTCCAATTTCATCGAAAGAATCCATATGAATTAATTGTCATTTAACTTGAATTAGAGGTTGTCAAATTTTTCTGAGTAAAACTATGTATGTGATATCATAGAAGATAAACTATTCGTGCACTCTCTTGCAAATAGTTATAGTGCTAATATATATTTATAATGTAGTCATAAAAGAAATTTTCGTATGAAAGATTTAATTTATATTTAAAGTCCATTGAACTTGATTTGTACAGTCCTTAGCACCACTGCCATACCAGTTTGGAATGATTATTTTTATATAACTATATATATTACTACATTCTTCAAAATATTTATTTCTGTGCTTTGAAGATACGAACCGGTCAATTATTTCATTAAAGTCAATATCAATCATCGTATTACTTCCAACTTTTCAGATTTTAGAGAATAATAGAAGTTAAAAGCTTAAGTCAGTTTGTCGCTTTTCGATACGTTAATTTTAGAACGGATTTTTGTGGAGTCGATTTTTTTGGCTTGTATGTTTTTATATGCAAGTCTCAAACATTGACTCTCTGTGGTTTCTACCTTTGAAATTATGGAGATCTTTTAAAAATAACAAACTCATGATAAAACAATAATTTTCTATGTAAACACAATCACATTTTTTCTACTTTCCTTTGCAATTCAAAAAATTAAATTTATTTCTTCTCAAAGATTAGATGAAAATAAAGCCAAAAAATATTTTGTGTCTTAATATAAACTTTCTTTTAAAAAAACTTACATTTCTCTTGAATTTTACAATTAAATGGTTTACACACAAAATTTAGTCATTTTAAATAAAATTAAGTATTTTTCCCAACATTTTTGTTTGAATCCTTAAAAATTACGCCGAGACTGGTTTATGTTCTATTTTCAATTTTCCGACCGACTTCAATCTGTCAAATTTGAGATAAGTTCGCTGCTATGGTTTTCACGGTAAAATCTCCGATGCTTGTTAAGTTTTATTAGAGCCAAGGATTTGAAAATCAAAAGAATTTTGTATCCGGAAAAAATAAAGCCTCAATATGAATTAAGCATACCGAAAGTAAAATATTTATTCTATTTATTTACATATAGGGTTTATCTTGAATCGCCTTCAGTGCAGAATAATTGCGATGCATCGGCATTATTGTGAACCGGTGTAAGTTCAACTGGACTAAATCACATACTGCCTGTATTAATTGTAGTTCAAAAATTTTCAATTCCCGCGAGAGACATTAACATTGCGCTTCCATGTCCACATACGGAACTACACCTGTACCGTCTAATATACTTCAATTAAATGGTTAGGACATTTGTGTTATAAATTTTGGAATTTTATTTAAAAAGAATTAAAATTACCTTGAACAATAATTGAAATAACAATTAAATAACTTAAAATAATTAATATAAAGAACTTAAGCTTAATCTATTTCATTTAACAAATATTTGAAATATTTAAGTAGTGGGAACAAAAAGACGTACTAGAGACTGGTAGTGATCGTCCATGTTACCTCATTAATAGAAAATTTTTTCTTTCTTTCTTTTTAACCATCAGATTTGATTCTAGTTGGATCCCCGGATATGCGTAGATACACTATACATTCATGACGTTTTGTTTAAACCGTTGTAACAAAATCTTAGAAATGTTCAAGAGAATGTAATTTATGTCCAAGATCAGAAATCACTGCACTGACTGCGCGGAGATCCTTTTTATGCCTACATTGCGTCATGTGTTATTTTCCAAAATGTGATCAGCCGAAGCGCTGATAACCTATATATTCTCACTAGTTTTTGTGTACAACTTCAATAATTTTCACAATTTTTTCTCAATGGAAACTGAAAAAAACTGGGCCCCCAAAGTGGATTAATAAATCCATAAAACCATAAGTAATAAAATGGGTGCGACCATAATTAAAGTCAGCTAGCCAAACTTTCAGATGAAGCTCTACCCGCGAAATCAAAGAATGATAATGCAAATAATACAAATATATAATACTTAATACAAATTATATATATATTATATTATATATATTAATTGATTGTTAGTCTGGATTTAAGTGCGATAAGGTCCATGTGACCTAGAAACTTGACTTTTGAATTGATATAATAAAACATTAATTGGTAATGTCTCTAATATTAATAAAAAGTTACCATATATATGACTGCTTTTGTGGTATGCTACCTACCTTTAAGAGAAGTTCTTCTTCTTTAATACCTTAAAGAACTTTAAAAAAGGTTAATTATGTTATTTAGCACTATCGTGCGACTAAACTATATTTTACTCTCTAGACATTTCACTCTTAAATGATGAAAGAAACATACCTCAAAGATAAATCTTTAAAATGAAATAATTCCCAAATATTCAAGTTACGTTTACAAGAATAAATTTTTTGTTAAATAAAATATATATATAAATAAGATTTATATATAATATAGTCATATACCTCCAGCTCAAAAAGTACCCGAATAAAACACACAAATTTAAATTTTATTCCAAATTTATTTTATCTTCTTCACATATGCTCCTTCTGAAACGATACACATATGCCAACGCTTAACCCAATCTTCCATACAAAAAAATTTTTGAAAAAGGTCTATTACTTAAGGAGTAGTTAACAAACAACAAAATCCGGATACTTTTTGAGCAGAAGCGTTAAATTAGACATATAAGTTATATGTATATATATAAATACATTATATATACATTTTATGTATTTATTTTAAAACGAAAAGAATAATTTTCAAAGTTCAATTTATAATAGTGATTTTTTATTAATATTAGAGACATTACCAATTAATATTTAATTATAAAAATTTCAAAATCAAGTTTCTAGGTCACATAGACCTTATCGCACTTAAAGCCAGACCAACAATCAATTAATTATATTATAAAAAAAAATGATATAAATATTATTTAAGCTTGCGGCAACCATTATCTCACATGTACATATTTTGGACTAATTTTACAGATATTTCGGATAATATTTACATACCGGGTGTTCCGTTAAGAATTGCATTAACTTCATGAAATAATTTGTCATTCAGGAATGTTAATTTATGAGTATTAAACAAGATATGAGGCATCAAAAAAGTAGACATCATTCAGTCAATTTTCGTTTAATATCTTATTCTTTGAAATATAAAGTAAAAAATAAATCTTAATATAAAAAATGAAAGTTATAGAAACAGTGTTCATCTTCAATTAATAAATGTTTAAGAAACATTTTGAGAATATGGCAACTCAGAACTATAAGTAAGACAGAGCTGTGATGAATAGCATACTAAACACATGTTAACGCATACATTACATTAATCAAATACTACTGCAGAGGCTAGAGATATCGGAAAAGATAGAATTTTCAGAACACTAACCGTTGCAGCCGACAGTAGACATCTACAGGTAGCAGAAGTAACTCTGAAACATATGCAGAAACCCCACATCTTTGGTGAGTGTGGAGTTTAAATACATAGGTATTCTTTAGAATCGGCTGTAAAAATAATGAAATAGAATATTACAGAAATTTCTACATTAATAGCATTAATATTTTAAATGTTAATAAATAAAAAAAATTGTATATTATATTAATTCATATATTTATTTATATTTAAAAAGTGAACAATTATTAAATGCATTGTACAGTTTGTTAATATATATATACCACATTTTCATATTCTTTCTTCATCACATGTGATTTTTATTTATAGTTGGACCCGCTTATCTTGTGCTTTATTGAACTTTATTACATTTGTGGTGATAATTAATTTAATGAGCATTGAGTGAGTATATGTGGTACAGGCCTAGTCAAAATAAATGGTACACTACCTAAACACGTAAAAAAATATACAATTATATATATGTAGATAGATCAATTGACAGATTGAGTGATAGATGCACAGACGCAGTACATAACGAGTTCCTTGACCTTAGAGAACAGTGGTAGATCATGCAATCTGTATTGTTGCTGAAAGCTCCCAGTGGGCATACATATAAACAAGTTAATACACCCTTATGAGAGGCAAGATGTGACATCTACGACAATGGCACACATCTGCCGAACGTTTATATTTACTAAGAGAAGGGCAGGAAAGTTGGGGACCATGTATTTAGCCCACATTAAAGAATGTGTGATAAGAACACATAGTGAATTCGACTACTATTTGAACCAAATTAGTATATACTGATGAGTATATACTGATGAGTATATACTGATACTTTTAAGAATATCTTCACCTCACCGATTTTGGCTAGCAAAAAGTCTCTACTGTACAAACTGTCAAAACGTTGCTGAAAGCGCAGTATAAGTGGTCTTTCGTTATAAACACTTTATCGGTGATCTATAATAATGTTGCATGTTCTCTGGTTCCTTGAGATAGCCGAGCGAACTCGGTCTAATTTTTTTACTCAAATATTAAAATAAAAAAGTAATATATATAATATATTCTGAACATATAAGTTAGATTAGGTTATACCGGCGATCCAAAAGGGATCCACTTAGGCCTATTGGCCCTTTGTGTTGCCGTATAGTGGAAAAACTGAACTCAAAATGTATAAATATATATATTAAAGTAATTACATATGTAAAAATATGAACTCACATGCTGTTTTGTATTGGCCATTGTGATAACATCAAAGTTACTAGGAAGAGGTGAGCTATATAAACCATTGCTTCCAATATAACTTTTGGTGTTATCTGAATTAAGCCTTTGCTTGTAGCTAAAGAGTACCGATAAGTCAGCTTTTTTATAGATTTTATATGATTTCAATATATAAGCTTACTATAGCTCTTTTGAATTTTAAAAAATCAACAGACTAGTATTCACTGGTGTAGGGTGAACCACAGCTACTTAATAGAACCATTTAAATTATCAGTTCAGTTTCGCGTACGCAAACCTTCAGTCAAAAATATTTATAAGATTAATCAAAACAAATATTTATTTATATTTTAAATAATTAAAAGCTGAAATGTTGAACTTAAGATATTCAAATTTAATTATTTTGTATTTTATATACACAACGGTAAGATAAATGAAATGTATTAATCAATATTTAAGATATAAATGTATATAAAAATATATGCACACACTATAAGCTATGTACAGATAGTATGTATATATGTTATATATTTTGAACTTTTGCACATGTAGATGCAGAAGGTATGCACATACAGAAATATAACAATAAAACTACACATATGCACTCAAAGTATGTGTATATAAACATTTATTGTTTTATTTATTTAAATGTATATATTTTTTTATCATGAAGTATCTCAAGTATCTCAAAGTATCTCATTTACTTTTTGTTTCCTTTTTATAGCTCTGCCAAGTTTCCATACACGGCGCGGAACTAAATCAAGAGATTAGCAATTCCAAATTTCAATTAAATTTTTTAGAAAAATTAATTGATTTCTCAAATAAGTCATCACTGGAATACTTAAATACATATTTACATTCACTTAATCCGCAACTTGTTTCATCTTTGAATAAAAATCTTCTAATTGAGTTTCAAGAAGCAAAAGATACAGACAATTTGGATCAAAAAATAGCCTTTATTAGGAAATATGTGGATGTCTCTAATGATGGAAAAGGGGAAGCCCACTTGGAGCAAGTGTACATTCTGCGGAATATGCATTTTTTACAAAATACTCAAACAAAGTTGAAAGAAATGCTGGAGGAGAGTAAAAACGAGTCACAATTAGTGCATCAGTATCACGTTTGTAGACAGTTTTTAATAAACAGTACTGCCACAGAACCTACAATTCAAATAGAAGATAGACCCGAAAGTAACACCCCACAAAGTTTCTTTACTGCTGACCTGGAAACGTTTGGCAAGAAATTATATGATTTAATTAATGTTAAAGGCGCCGGAATAATTGATGAATTCCTTATTAAGTTACGCAGTCATTTAGAATATATAATGGACAAGAATGCAGTTAACACAGCTAATATGGCTGCTTCAGATAATACGGATAATATGGATAACACAGATAATGCAGATAATAAGGATAATAAAGTGCTTAAAGAAATTGTCGAGATGATTAATGATATAGTCAATTTACACGATTTGCATGCTAAACGACAACAACTTTATAATGCAGTTTCCATACTCTCCCAAGAATATAAGCTCCAACACATTATAGGAGAATTTGCAAAGTATAAGAAATATATTGGATTCGATTGTATATTTGAGTATCTCTTAGTTAATTTCGAATTTTTGGAAAACTTATACGAGCAATGGGAAAAATTATTGCCAAAGACACCATTAGGACATATGGATGAAAACGGACAACTGCTTCATAACATTTTGATGACATACAATAAATTTAAATTAACCAGAGACTCCGAAGTATACCAGATGTATGAAGAGAACATTGAAAAACTACAAAATAAAACTATTCATCTTAAACATGAAGTACCATTATATTATATGTTGTATAATTCTACAAATAGTTTTGGTCCCATCTCTTTGCATGCGATTATGACGAACTGCAGGGAAACATATTTATGAAGAGATCCAATAACTTCATGGAATGGAATTAGTAATTATTTATTTGGTAGACAATATTATTTAAATCACTATAAGATAATTCTATGTGGCCATCTATATAGCTTGTAGTTATAAATTTGATACAATTGCAGATGTCTACAGTACTGTCTTATATACAGAGCAATATCGTCATTAAGAAATAAAGAACTCTTTAAACTTTGTCACACGATCTTTGTTATATATCATTTATCCTAACACAAAATAATTATAATCGATTTTAATATATAAATTAATTGTAATAAATAATTATTATTTAATTATAAATAATAATGAAATAAAATTAAATTTAAAAAAAAAATCAATTGTTACAAATATATATGTATATATAGTAATTAATCAATATTTTATATTTTTCTTATAAAATTTGTAGTAAATTTAAAATAGAAATGTTACTTTTAAAATTAATTAAATAAATAAATACAATGGAAAGGCTTTGAATAATATTAATTAATTCAGTTCTTGGTTGACCAATATGGCAGTTTCAAATATAACCAAATACCCATTAAGAGTAGTCTTTGGAACCATAACTCAAATATAATTATATTATTTGTAAATAATTTTTTATACTCCAAATTCTAAGCGTTTAAGATAAGTCACTGACCGTTAAACGTAATTGATATACAGTCAATGGTACTCAAGGCACAATTCTGCAGAGAAAAGGTTCGACTTATGGAGACTTCAAGTTAGAGAACTTTTTTATTTATTTTTTTTTTTTTTGTTATAACTAGAATTATATTTTAAGGTATTTATTTATTTAAAAATCAAATACAGCACAAAAGTTATAGTGAATTGAAATATTCAGAAATTAGGGTTTAGGATTTTAATTTTTTTTTTCTTATTTTCAGTACAAACAGATATCAATTTATTCCAAGCCTTATAGTGATCATCATTTGTAGTATCATACATATGCAAAAAAAATTCAGAATGAAAATTCAAAATGAGTCTTTTACTTCATTCTTGGAAGGCTGTTGAACAATTTCATCCACCGAACCCTCATCATCATTTTCCGTTGCACTTACAATCGGATCTATTAATTGAGAACTCTAATGCTAAATAATATTGTCATCTGCAGGAAAGCTTGATGTACAAATTTCATAATTGTTAAGAGTAGCATTGGAAATTATTTTATTTACTTTAAACCACGCTTCGTAATTCTGTTTCATCAATTCATGATCTTCATCAATGTTATTCAAGAAAATGAAAGCAATGTCGTCCTGTTCGTCCCATGTAGAAAATTGGTCAAATTCAGTTTTTTTAGAGAATGTCGTCCTGTTCGTCCCATTTAGAAAATTAGCCAAATTCAGATTTTTTAGTGAAGTGCGTTATCGTTTGATTACTAACATCATCTTAATATCTTAAGATTTGTTATATGATTGATGTAATCCATACTTCTAAACGCTTAAGTGGTTTTTTTACGATTTTGTTGCGATAATTTAAAGAAAAAAATTTAACATTTGGTTTGGAAAAATGGACTTCCTCTAACACCAAAATGGATTCATACCTAAAACGAAAACTCGACTTATAGAATGCACTTTCGCACGTGACAATATTTTTATTCAAGTTATAGAGCAATTCGAATTATAAAAGTTTGAGTTATGGAAGTTGGACTGTATATTGTTCTAATTTGAAATTTTGTTTACCCATAAAATAATCAAATTAATAAATTATTAATTTTTTAATTTGTTTAAACTTAATTTAATTTTATAATATTTATCTATATCTCTGGCTGTTTATACCCAACTTTCTCTACATACACAATTATTCCTCAATTAGTGAATTGTGGAGTATTATTGAACTTGAAAAGAAAAGTTTATGTTCGACAATAAAAGCACTTTATAATCTGTTATTATTGCTTAAGTACATACGAAACCAATAATAATTACTTTAGCATAGCTAAATATAAAACTTTAACAAACTACCCTAACTGAATTCCCATGTGGCTATTAGGGCATTTAAATACTTAATTAATTTTAGTAATTTAGTTCCAATTCAGTATTTAAGTACAGACATCAAATTTAATTTTATCTTTAATTAAAAATTCAACATTAATTCTTTTTATTACAAAATTATCACAATTTTTTATTGAACTGAAGCACTTATGGGAAGAAGAGGACTTATGAGAATAAAAGATAAATAGGAAAAAAACAAACAAAAAGCCATTTATTTATTATTAAAAAAAATCGAAACTTAATTTAAAAATTAAATTTTTCAAATTTTTTTTTAAAATCTTATATATAAAAATAGATCGGAAAATGTGTTGGTAAGCGCATAACCCAACAACGCCTATACCAATTTGGTCAATTCTTTGTTTTAAATCGAATTAATGCTAATTCCAAATAGGTCCAGGCGTTGATGAGTTTTATGTGCTTACCATTACATTTTTCGATTCGTTTTTACACATAAGAAGACAAGAACATAACTAGAATAGATGAGTTTGTGTGTTGTAAAAAGTTGTTGATTATTATAGGTATGTTTATTAAATCCCCATGACTTGCTTTGTAAATAATTATCTCCACTATCCAAGCGAGCCACCCACTTTTTAAATATTTGTCACCTTTAGGTTTCCACTGTCCCTTTAAATTATTTTCCATCAGGTTTGAACCCTAAGTTCGCCTCTTAGTTTGAAACTCTCTGGCAGACATCCCAATCGGGACTTTTTAGTGGATCCCAGAAGGGTGACCAAAGTTCTTGGACCCCATACACCAGGGTGACTGTTCTGTTCAAGAGATTTTTTTGCCCTGACTATAAATTAGGTAGGAACAAAAAACTGCCACATTCCAAATCTTTTTGACAGAACGATGTCTGTCGGGTCCGCTAGTTTTAAAATCAAAATAATAATTTATTTCAGTAATAGAACCCCTTGATCATGACCAAAAAGAGTGTAGAATTATCACGAACATTCGTCTTAAAAATAAAATATTTTTTAACATCATTTGAAATGTTTTAAAAAAATTATTTTCTTCAAATGCACCCCACAAAAAATGTGACCCACGTAATTGCGGGTGCTAAAACGCTCAGAAATTTAGTTTATTAACAGAAAATACTTTATTTAGTCCTCGCAAAGCCCATTTGTTTCGCTTGTTTTTCTGAGTTGGAATAACAAGTGGTTTCTCAGGCCAACGATATCAATATTATCGACATATGTAAGCAGCATCCCGCTTTCATGAAATATTATACCATTACCGTACATTGTACCAAACATTAAATGTTTTAAACAAACTGCAACGTCAAACAAAGTTATATGGAATGTTTGACTGGTTCGGAATAGAATTGTCTATTACGAGCTGATCCACACTGGTGCAACGGTTAATTGAGTCCTCTACCGGTAATAACTCAGTGATCGAGTTATTAGCGGTCAAAGAAAAAAGAGGCGACAGAAAAGGACTTGTGTTTCAATGACAAGCCAAACAGTTCTTTGATGACTGGAAAAAATTGAGGAAACTTCGTCAAGAAGTTTGAATTATCCACTTCGGTTTCTGCCACACTCTCTTCATTATAAAAAATTGGTCGATCGAAAAGTCACTGAATATCACTTGGCTGATTATCAGTTTTTGACTGATGAACAATAAAAGTTTAAAACCATTAGAATTATAAACCTATCCGGAAATTGGCAAAAGGTTATGAATAATTAAAATTATTATTCAAAAATGAAAATTATTATTAACAAATATACCAAAAAATGATCAATGATCGAAAAAATGATCAAATGATCGAAAACTGTTATTTAAATCATTCTGCGATAAAAGCTGGTGCACCTCAGGGTACATAGTGGAGTGTACTCAGTCCACTACTATACCTGCTTTACACAATGGACTTGCCAATAACACTTGAAAGTAAAATTGCAACATTTGCAGATGATACTGCTATTCTGGCGATTGCTGACTCCGTTGAAGAATCAATAGCCAAATTACAAACAGCTACAGATTTGTTATACAATTGGACAAAAAGATGGCGTATCAAACTGAATTATGCTAAATCGGTTCATGTGGATTTTACAAATAAAAAAATACAGTACTTTCCTATTTCGATTCAAGATACTCAGATACCATATGCCAACACTGCAAAATATCTTAGCATAACGTTGGACGCAAAATTTCGATGGAAGAAACACATAAAAAAGAAACGAGACGAGCTTGATATGAAGTTGTGAAAAATGAAATGGCTGATTGACCGCAAATCCACACTATCTATGCAAATTAAAATTCTGCTATACAATCACATTTTAAAGCCTGTATGGTCTGAGTATGGCGCTGAGCTATGCAATCGTGACGTTTCCAGAACAAGGTTCTAGGGAACATTTTAAAAGCGCCTTGGTACATTAGAAACAGCGATATACACCGCGATCTATAATTGTACACAGTCGCTGAAAAAGTAAAAAAGAAAGAAACAAGTCACAAACTGAGGTTGCAGCAACATGTTGACATAGAAGCTGTTAACATCATAACCTCGTATGGACCACCAAAACGACTAAAACGGCGAAATGTCGCTGACATGGCATTGAATCAGAATGTAAAATAATTTGTGAAGAAAATTGGTTATTTATTTATGTAAAGTATTGATCAGGTTCAAGCTACTTATTGTTTATAATGTAAATAGTTGTAGCAATAAAAAAAAACAAAAAAAACAATTAACAATGTAAGAAACATTAGAATATTACTAACAGGACCGTGAAGGTTAATCAACAGCTAACAAAAGTGATACCATACTTTAGTACAACTTGTAAACTTTATAAGAAAATAGATCCAACCTCAAATCATGTGTTGAGAATCTGTCGCTTACTAAACAAAAGAAATGCCTTATATACTCATACACTCGTCCAATACTATAATATATCGAGAAAATCGGACTTATAGAGGTACTGTAAAATTATGAATCACAATATGTTACATCTCTAGTTTGCAATGTTAAGTAAACCAATATATTAATAATTAAAATATTGATAATATAATGTTGAGAAGCCTTTAAAAATTAGTTCCTGGAAACTAATTGCTTTTTGTGAATGACTTATACAGTGTTGGTTTAAGAGCCAGAAGCTTCGTTAATATTTAATAGTAATAAATACATTAAGTGCACTCCAGAGAACAATTTTTTGGACGATCTATACTCCCGCATGAGTTGGTAACGGGTACTAAACTAGATGACATGGTTATCTATATTAGGTATACTGCAACGTTGACATGAATAAGCGCATTTTAACTCAGCGGGTTCGCTGGTTAAGTCAAGACGTTTGATTAAGTGTATGCTGGTGGAAAAAGCAGTATTTTCTCGGTGAATAGATCTAATGATTAATGAGTTGAAAGCATATGTTTCTAATAGGTAGTGGTGGCAGGCTGCCGATTGTGCTGGTTGGCGAAAGATACTACATATGGCAAGACACTGCACACATCTGTAAATATCATCTAAGTAAGTGAGCAATTCTAGCTGTCTTACTCTCAGAAAACAACACAAAACTATGTTCCCAAATTTTAATCTTAATTAATTATTTATTTCATTTTTTTTAATGTAAAAATACATCAATCTTTTGTATACTGTCTATTACTCTGTCTCCTTTTTGTCTTCTTTACATGCTATGTTCAAAAAAAGATTGTTTTCACATAAATCTCTCTCTGTCTCCATGGCGACCACTTCGTACTCAACGTTCAATCCAGAATTGATTTCAGATAAATATGTTTCTGTCTCCATAGCAACCATTTCGTACTCAACGTTCAATCCAGAATTGATTTCAGATAAATCTGCTTCTGTATCCAAAGCAACCACTTCGTACTCAACATTCAATCCAGAATTGTTTTCAGTTAGGTCTGCCTCTGTTTTCTTAACAACCACTTCGTACTCAACGTTCAATCCAGAATTATTTTCAGTTAGATCTGCCTCTGTCTTCTTAACGACCACTTCGTACTCAACGTTCAATCCAGAATTGTTTTCAGTTAGATCTGCCTCTGTCTTCTTAACGATCACCTCGTACTCAATATTCAACCCAGAATTGTTTTCAGTTAGGTCTGGCTCTGTCTTCTTGATGGCCTCTTTGTACTCTACTTTCAATTCCGGATTGGTTTCAGTTATCTCACAATAAATGCAATCGTATAGATTCTTTCTCCTCCTCTAAAAAGAAATTTATGTAATTCAATTTTAATTTGAAAACAACAATTAAAGCAAAGATTTCACTGTATAGTCATCTTGTGCCGCTTGTATATCGGATTCATAAATTTCTTCTATCCCCTGTCCCCCTCCCGCCAGTTTATCATTTGCGAATGCGATCCTCTCATGAAACTCATCATACAAGATTTTAAGGGAGTTTAAGTAAAAATTTAAATTGGAGTCATTTTGAGCACTACTGCTAACATCCACTTGTCCATTTTTCTTATTAGCCATTTTAAAATCCTTTCTTTGTTAATAGGTAAGTTAAAGCTAATAACAAATTCAGAATTCATTGTTTTTTTTTAAATCAAATTGTATATTTATTTATAACATTTACAAAGCTTGCTTTTTTGATTCATAAATATTTTATAGTGTGCATGTCGTGTTATCTCTTTCTTTTCCAAGAAAAAATTAGTCCTTTTTCATTTAATAATAAACTTTCTATATATTTTTATTAATGGTTATCAACAGACATTCCTGAAGGATTCTGTATAAAGTGATGAACAGGGCACTATTATATACTACGGGTAATGGACTTTACAGTCGGAATTTTCCTATGAAAGGTTTAATTTATATTTAAAGTCCATTGGACTTGATTTGTACAGTCCTTGGCACCAGTGAAAGGTTTAATTTATATTTAAAGTCCATTGAACTTGATTTGTGCCAAGGAACCAGTGCTATACCATACTTTTCTCTTCTTTTCTCTTTTCTTCTCTTTTCTTCTCTTTTCTTCTCTTTTCTTCTCTTTTCTTCTCTTTTCTTTTCTTTTCTTTTCTTTTCTTCTCTTCTCTTCTCTCCTCTTTTCTTCTCTTTTCTCCTCTTTTCTTTTCTTCTCTCATTTTCTCTCTTTCCTTCTCTTCTCTTTGTCGATATCATTTTTTAGCAGAGCACTGAATGTGAACATATTAATAGCATATAAAAAAATGACTTTGGAGACTTAATTAAAATATTGAATATGTTCTCATATAGCATGATATATTTTGAATTCAATAAAGTTTAAGTTTAATTACTGAGAAAAATGTGGTGCTTAGTGTACATAACATAAATTGGATGTATGTTAGGCACCAGGCTCTTATTACCTTATCCATTACAACCATTTTATTAACTTAAAAAAATTTTTATATGTTCTTAAAATGTTGAATACAATTTTCATATTCGTGCCTTACTAATATCACTTTTTAAAAAATAAAAAAATGTTTGTCATCTGCACAAAACTCGACTAAAAATAATACTCGGTGAGTTGTCAATGTTAATGTTATTTGTTAAGAAGTCTTAACGTAGATTTGGGTTCTCTTTCATTTCAATTTAAAAAATGTTAACAAAGCCAATCCAATGTTAAAATATTCCAATGATATGTGTTGCCTACTCTGGGCCAAATAGATTGGCGGCATCGGAAAGCGTACTGTTATTAACGAAATAAGCGTTTGGTAATAATTTTAATAACATATTTTGCTCTTCTTCGTAAAACGCGATAATTTCTGCTCTGCCCTTATCTGTGTAACAACCCTGGTATCGATAGGAAAATGAGCAAATAAATTTTCTAGCTTATGAGAAACACGCAAATTCATAGCTTTTCTTATTGTTTTTTAGACTAAAAAATTTTATTTGTCTTTTAGACAGAAAAAAAAGAATAAAATCTATGAAAAATGTCTAAAGATTGGAATGGAATGTTTTACAAGTACAAAATATTTAATAAACTAAATGTAAACAGTCAAATACCAGTAAGACAAGCAAGCAAGCTTACTATTCGCATTAGACATACAGACAGACAGACAGACAGGCAGACAGGCAGACGGACAGACGGAGCAGTGCAGACAAGTGAATGCCGAACATCTTTGCTGTCAATTCAACGCAGTGTGAAATATTCGATATTGACTCTATAAAAAATTCTAAATATTTAAAAAAAAGAAATTGAATAGCTTACGTTTGTGTGCGTGTACATATTATTTTTTTTTTTGTGACTTTTTCTATTTTACTTATGTTGTTGTTTACACTGTTGCTGTTGTAAGAGGATATTACTCAAATACTTAAAAAATTGGTAGAATTTATTTATTTGTGTGTCTTGGCCAGTAGCATACAGTCTCATTCAAACCGAAACCAACGAATACAAGCCACAAAACAAAAGAAAACAACAAAACAATCATATGACACACGAACTCATACACACAACAAACACAAGCACACCGACCATGTGGATGGAGCGCTTATTTGCATTGGCGCATATGCTTAAGTAGTGCCTGTATCAATGCCATCATTAAATTAACACAAAAGCTACAAATTCAATTCAACCATAAGCGTTACAACCACAAAGCAATTGAGAGTAAAATAACAACAGCAACAACACAGCAACAATAGTAACAATAACAACAATGTGGTAGTAGCTAACCACAACCAATCACAATAACCGCACGAAATGTAAAATGGATCGACCGACCGACCCACCGACTATGAAAGCAGGAAATAAAAGCAGAAAAAAAAACTGACAAATGACATGACAAAATTTTTATTTTTGATTTTATAAACTGTGATTTGATGTTTTATTTTTGTATTTACGTTTCCCAACATTTTTTTTTTTGTTTTTTGTATTTCTTTTTTTTTTTTGTTATTTGCTGTGATTTATTTAAGAACTTAAATAATAAAAATATTACGAATGGTAACAATGTTTTCTGTTTTTTTATTGAAACGACTATTGTTGCTTTCTGGTACCGAAGTTGTCACCATGACATTTATTTTTTTTACTTATAAAATTTTTTTATATACAAATTTCTTTATTTATAAATTTTTATAAATGCCCACAATAAATATCTTATTTGTTAGAAAAAGCGAATAAATATCAATATAATTAAGAAAAATATTTGAAGTAAAAGCTCTCTTAAGCGGATATCGATGAGACCATCAATCATATCCGGTTCATATAATATAATTTACTTTATACAAATATCGGAAACTGAAGACTAGGAATATTACACGTTTAACAGAGATGTCCATTTATTAGAAAGCCTGTTTAACACTACCTTCACTGCAGTTATCTTATAATTAACGCTATCCGTGGACCCCCGGAGATCTCTGTTACAGTTGTAAGCCTATACACTGCACAATTTTCAACAATATGGGTAAGTCGAATTCTACCATAGAACATTGAGGCCCAATGCTCCACTGTGAGATTAGGATAAGAAAGTGAGAGAGTTAAAAAACTATTCTTCGTTTCATGGAATTGTTTCCACATTCCACGTAATTGTGGCTAAAAAGTTCGGCATATTAATAGCAGCCGGTTGTAATGATAAATAAAAATATTTGGCCAATATCGATGTTGAAAATATCGCCGAGTGTGTTAAACAATGGGGTGCCTATTAGCTTAAGCCTAGCTCTACCCAAGTTTGCAGATAGATACAACAACTGCACCGCTGTCTATTCTTCTTGTGCCGTGCCAGTGGGCATATTCTACAGAAGATTCAACAGTGCAGGCCAAGCCTAGTTCCATGCGGCACTATAATCCAATGTCACGTTTTGATGAATATAAAACTAAGTATTTTTGTTTCACTTTTTTATATCAGGTCAATGATTCTACATTTGAAAAATATGGAAATATTGAAAATATCAAACAATGCAATTACAAAGTAAGTTTCTTGAAATATATTAAAAAAAATAACAAAAATATTTTTATAACAATAATATAAAATTCAATGTCGAATTTTCATCTAGATATTTAGGGATGTCACTTGGTTCCTCTTTATGTGGGGGTTTAACCATTTTTACTGGCACATCCAAAACAAGTTATGGTATAGGCAATAAAGCTTTCTCAGCAAAGATAAATAACTGATAATTGCTCGAAGAAATTTCAAATCTTGTTGTAAGTAACTCAGAAGTTTTTTTAACATTTTGGATTGAAAATAATTTGTATCGGAAACTAAATTAATGTTTCTTCGAAAAGATAAATGATGGCATGAATAAAATTTACAAAAAATTCAATAAAGAATCAGAAGGTAATTTTATTGATTCAAAACTTATTGCTATCTTAGATTCTTTTCGTTACAGAATAATTACTTGGCTCACTATTATCACAGTTTAATCACTATTATCACAGTAGTAGAAAGGATAACAAAAGTTCCTCTTATCTTTTTTAATGCTCAGTGAATTTGCGGCGTCGCTATAATACTTCAAGAACTTAATAAAAAGTTCAAGGTGCGTTTAAAATCTCAAAGTCTCTTAAATTGTAACACAAGAGGCCAAAGTGAATCCTCAGTATTTATAATGAATCAATTTATTATGAAGCTTATAAATTTAATTTTCATTACTTGTTGTTTTTATTGAAATAAATTATCTAATATTGAACATTTTCTAGAACCTGAAATGACTGCAGTTCTTTTATTACTTATATGATCACTTCAGGTTTTCTAATTTCAACTAATTTTTCGTAAATTTTATACAAATCAAAATATCAAAACTAACACAAATTTTTCTAATTTTTCTAATCTAATTTTTAGTATATCCTAGTATTAATAGTATTAATATTTATATCCTTATTAAACTTTTGTAGCAGCATTGTATTGATTTTGTACCACATTGCGTATGAGTAAAAATAAAATATTAATTAAAATTCTTTACTTAGCAGTACTTAACGATTAATAATACAGATATATATATATATATATATATATATATATATACATAAATTATATATATATATACATAAATTATATATATATATGCAAATAAAAGAAGCTTATCATTACCAATTAATATTAGAAGATAAAAGAATGGCCATAATTTTAGATTATATTTCAAAACAATACTTTGAAACAAAAAAAAAATTTTCAATGACACTCAAATTGGAAAAGATAGACATATAAAGATATATGACAGGTACTAAATACTCTCATCACCGTTAATTATAAATATTTTAGTCAAGCATATTTGGCACTCCAAAACAAAATATCTAAGGTTTCGATAAAGAAAAATGGAATAAATAGAGTGACATCAATCCAAATCATATGAGCAGATTTCGTTGTAAGATTAGGGATAATCCATATACGAGTAAGATCATCTCAAGATATAATAAGGCAATAGGAGGCGTTTAACTAATATATCAAATAAAAATATTTTATTCATACATATTAAAACTCAAAAATAAATTTTCTTTAAAGTAAATTAAATTAAAAATAATAGAGAAAAGACTTTTGGACTAGTATAAATTTTAAATAATACAATCGATATATGTTTAAATAATTTTATTAGGCTGGATTCCTTCCGATATAAAAGGGAGA